TAAATACTTCAGACTTGTGTTTCAAGAAGAATATCCAGACTTTCCTAGAAAAATCATCAACAAAGGTTAGAAAATATCGAGCACCACCAATCGACATCACATCAAGTGAACTACACATATATGAATGAACATAATCTAGGACACCACCTATATCATACTTCGTTGTTTTCAATGTCACCCTGCACTATTTTCTCATGATACAGTACTTACAAAAATTCGATTTGCAAGTTCTCACACTAGGTAGTAGTACTTGTGTATATAGCTTCTGCATACATGTTTCACTCATATAGCCCAATCACAAGTGCCATAAAAGTGTGTCATTAATCATGGAATCATCCAATGTCGCAACACAAATTCCACTTACAATAGTACTTCCCTCAAGTTTATAAATATTCGTTCGTTGACGTCTTCTCTTTATCACAATAAGTGATCACTTTATAATCTTTTGGATCTCATTCTCTCCTTTAAAGTAACATCCATTCACTTCTAATACTCTAAGTGAAATCAAATTTTGGTGTGATGCTAGAACATGACGAACATTTTCAAGCTCTTAAATCACTCTGTCAAACATTTGAACTTTTATCAAACTAATGCCCACAACTTCGTAAGCTACATTGTTTCTTATAAAAATAACTCCTATTGGACTTTTGTATGAGTAAAACTAGTCAGCATGATGACACATATGATAAGAACAACTAGTATCAAGAATCCGTGTATTCGACAACTCAGCTGCAACAAGTCCAGAATAGATTTCACCATCTTCTCTGTCCTCAATTTTCCTAACATTAGCAAAAGAAAAATCACCTTCTATTATTTTATCGTTGTGGTTCTTCGAATAATCTCTTCATAAGTCTCTATTCTTATTACACTTATGACAAGTTTAGTTCTTCAATTAATTTGTCTGTGACTTAGATCAACCCTTCTTGTCTCCTGATGATTTTTTCTCCTTCTACCTTCTACGTTCTCTTCCAACCTTCGCATATAAACCTTCACCACGAGCTTCATCAACATCCTTCTTCTGATGATAATACTCTATCAATAAGTCAATAACATCTTCAAAAACATGTGTTGTATTATCATACAATAAGGTCGTAATAAGATGATCATATGAATTAGGGAGAGAAACAAACAAAATAATAACTTTTTCTCATTAGAAAATTTTGATTCTATATGAAGTAAGTCATTTAGTAATTGACTAAAATAATCAATATATGAGATGACAAATCATCTTCATATGATGTGTAATCTAAATAGTTTTCTCTTTAATGTTAATTTACTCATCATTAACTTTGGTACACATTATTTTTTCAACTTCTTCTAGAGTTCATTTGGATTATATTCATCCATATCCTACTGAAGAGCCTAATCAAACAAACATGTATGAATAAAACCTCTAACCTTCTTCTTTATTATCTCCCAATCATCAGTACTGATCTTGTCTAACTTTGGACCATCCAAAGTCTTATACAAGTCAGTCTACAACAACGCATCATACACACAATGTTTTTAGAGATTAAAATTAGAAAAATTATCTAACTTTTAGATGTCATTAAGCACCTTAGAAGTCATAGTAAATTTAAAATAATCAAATCAATGCTCTAATACCACTTGTAGAATAAAATATGCAAGTATAAGATCACAATAACAGCGAAAACTCAATTTCTAGATATTAAGGAGAACAAATAGAAGAAAAATCACTAAGCTATTAGAAATCTTGATGAGAACAAGACTTCCACAAAACACCCCTAATCCATATCTCAATGCCCCCGAGATGACTTACACACTAAAAGTTCAACAATAGACTATTATCTCTTTCTATAAAGACTTCCTCTATAATAGAAAAGAGAGAAGATATCAAGAAGAGGAATAGAGTTGATGAAGAGAGAGAATAGAATCAAGAGAAAAATAGTTATACGTTATACTCATAAAAAGAGAAATATATGTCATATTTATAGAAACAAGAAAAGATAACCGCTTCCTAAAAAGAAGCATCTTGATCTATGTGCAGCCGAGTCCACACATCTCGAATATGACGACTATAACCACCCTCGATCTCTCTCTACACGACCCCCGAAATGAGTCATAAGGGTCGACATGACTATTGTGTCACCATCCCCTTACTCCTTGCACGCCTTCAAGTAAGTCAAATTGGAGAGCTCTCTCTCACGTCTCCCAAATAGTTGAGACGGGAGAGGTTCTCTCACACGTCTCCTAAATGGGTCAGCTGTGATGGACTGACACAGTCAACACTCTCCATGCCCCACAACACCGTGCTTTGAGCTGGTGTAGGCAAGGGTCCTCAAGCCACCAAGGGTGGAGGTGACGCTGGCAATGGTGAGGATACTACCCCGGCAGGTGGGGATCATGACCTTGGCAGCGTGCTTGGTGCCTAGAAAGGCCACCCAGAGGTTCACAGCGATCACCTGGTCAAACTCCCCTGCCTAGCAATTGATGATCAAGGGCATTACTAGGTTGAGGACGGTGGCCTTGTTGCACATGACGTTGGGCTTGAGTTCACATGGATGCTCTCCCTCTAGATGCAATGATTGTTGAGTTAAGAATGGTAGGGTTATGTGTACAACTACGAAAATATAAAAACAAATTATGAGATATTAAATTAGAGATATACTCTCTCAACATGTCAGAGCCCTCAAGCTCACTTGTGCTATTTTGTAGAATTACTTTATCCTTCTATTCCTTTGACTTTAAAGTCTCCCTCATCATTTATTTTTTATTGATCCAGTCAAGTCTTGTGTTCTTGTCTATCTAGAGAGGTTCTTCTATTGTAATTCTTCTCTAAAATCTTCAAGAATCAGTTCCCAAAGGACAAGGAGCTAAGTTCTTGCCTATTTTACTAGTTTCATCTCTACAAAACCAATTCTTTCTTGTCACACCGACATTCCACTCTATTGAACCTCTCTGAATTTTATCTTTTTGGTGATTGACAAAGACATGACAATTGTTAAGACAACAAAGTGCATGTCTCAGAAGAGTCTTTCCAAACTTTCAGCCAATCTCTCTTCGTACCTTGATTTAGATTTCTGGTGACACTTTTCACTTGTAGTAGTAGGTGAATGGATTTAAAGTAGTAGAAGAATGGATTTCTGGTAGTAGGGAAACCAACGCCTTTATCACTACCCACCTAATCAAGATTTTAAAATAATCAAGATGTTGTGGACTTCTCCATCGAATGTTCATATCAAGAAACACTATAGAGGAAATTAAAAGCATCCATAGCAACTTTGTCCCATAAGCTATAGGCTCCGAAGTCGTTTGACGAAAGTCAATTCGACGGCATTTAAGTGGTGGAACATGGCACCTCCTTCCGAGTACCCTGCCTTTCCTTGTGAAGTATGACTTCTCCATTTGTGATATATATATATATATATATATATCTGCATCTCTCTCTCTCTCTCTCTCTCTCTCTCTCTCTCTCTCTTTTCTGCTGCCAGCCCCCATCTTGTGCTTGGCCCAATTCAAGTTGGGGGGTGACTTCTAAGGGTTCAGCGCAGATTTATCTCTCTACTTCTGAGTCCAAACAATTTAATGGCCCTCATGTGATCTAATCATCATAGAAGATATAAATCTTGGGGTATTTTTCATTTAAAATCCTTCATAAAAAAATTCATTTATTGGGAATTATCTCCATGCTCTAACTTTTGTCAGTTCCCACATTACATATGTTTCTAAATACTATTAATTCGTTCAAATAATTCGAACATCATATATTTGACTTAAATGCCAAAGTAGTTTATAAGAATTTAAAGGTCTAATAATTTATAAGAATTTAGATGTGAATAAATTGTTCAAATATGTATAAAGCACCTCGTTTCTAAAGAACCAGCTTGATGAGCCAATGATTTATAGGTTTTTGAGATTATCTAGAAGAATAATTTTTCCAAAAATTAAGATAATTCCTTCAATTACGGACATTGTGCTGCAAGGTTGTCGTCATTGGGGAAATCCTTCAATTTCACAAGAGAAATGTTTTGCTATGAAGAGAAAATCTTGAAGATCCTCAGCATCATGGTCAACTACTAGTTGAGCAGTCCTTATTTGGTAACACATGCCTAGAAATCAATAGGAAACTACAAATATTAATCTTGCAAATTTTATAATAATTTGAAATCCTTAAATTTTAATGCAATCTTCATTGCATCTTGTTCCTCTTCTAATAACCTTTATAATAATCTGTTGTGTGCTAATATCTATGACGACAGCTTACAACTAAAAAATATTTGACTCATTTGGGCTCAAATGTGAACTAATTTTTCTTGACAGATTTCCACCTTATTTAATTACATTACATAATTAATGATAATTTTCACATTATTAATGGCAATAAACCATATTATTCTTTTTCAACATCACAACCTTTGAGGCTCTCAAACCCGATAGGTGTACCCCTTGTCAAGTAGATTCATAAATGCTCCACTCATGTGAATTAAAGTATTTACTTACAAATAACAATGAATCACAAGGGTCTCTTCTTATACCAGCTAAATCCAAAAATTGTGTAAATGAAATACAAGACTACGAATTGAGGCAGGATTCATATATGTGGTCATGATGCTCATGTAAACACCAATGGTTCAAGGAAAACCTAATGTAAAGCCTCCCTATTGTTATACTATAGAGATTACTCATTGATTTTAACAGGAACATAATATTTTCATCATAGTGAATATATATTTCATTGAATTATTTTCCTGATTTCATTTGTATATATGGGTTTAACTTTCACCAGAGGGAACTATGAGCCTCAGCTTCTATGTTTAGAAGAGGGTTTTGGTGGCACACAACATGAGAGTATTATGGATAAAATCATAGCTTTCTTTGAGTCACATTGAGTACCATACTTCAATACAAGGTGTATTTCTCATCACATCAAGTCAATTCCTAGCCTAGACCGCAACAAAAAGGGAAAGCAAACACTGCTGGGCTGGCATGGTCGCTATTCGGATGGTGACGTGTTTAATGGGCCGAAGGGCTGAAAATTCATCGTTCATGGGCCACACGATCGGTCCAAGGAGCCCGACTGTAATGGGCCGCACGACAGTTGCGACTGTTTAATGGCCATTTATTTGAATATTCAGAATTATTAAAATTTGCTCGGAGAACAGGAGAGGATCGAGTGGGATGCTCGGGTGTGGCGGCCTATTCATGGCCTCGCTGCGAGGTCCCTTCTTCCTCTTCGCGCTGATCATGGCGACCTCGATCGCGAACCCTTCATGGGCTCCCCCGCGGGGCCTACTCGATAGCCTTCCCCGGCAGCTGCTGGAGTCGGCGCGGAGCCCGGAGTTCTTCGAATGGATGAAGGGAGTGAGGAGGAGGATCCACCAGCACCCGGAGCTGGCCTTTGAGGAGCACATGACCGGCGAGCTCATCAGGAGGGAGCTCGAAGGCCTCGGTATCGACTACTCGTGGCCGGTGGCCAGGACCGGGGTCGTCGCCACCATCGGGCCCGGCGACGGGCCGGAGTTCGCCCTCAGGGCTGACATGGACGCTCTCCCTCTGGAGGTGATGACTCCCCTCGCCTCTCCGTTTTGCTCCACTGGTTGTGGTCGAATTCGACGGGGGTTTCTTCTGTAGTCCGTGCGACGATCTTCGCCGGCGAGCTTCGAATAGGGTCGAGCCCAGAGGTTCCATTTGGGAATTCTCGAGCAGCCGGTTGGGGGAAATGCGATTTATGATCTTTAATTTGCCTGCTATTTTAGGTCTCCGTCGTCGTCTCTCTTTGATTGACCCCGTCGAGTCCTGTGTTCTTGCCTATCCGGAGAGATTACCCTGTTGTTGTAGTTCTTCTCCAAGATCTTCAAGAATAGATTGCCAGAGAACGAGGAGCTATGTTCTCGCCCAATTCCTTCTTCTCATTACACCGACATTCCACCCCATTGCACCTCTCTGAATTCCATCCTTCCGGTGGTTGATAAAGGCCCGGCCATTGTTAAGACGGCAAAGCCCATGTTCTATAGATTTCTGGTGAAGCGTCTCACTTGTTTATGCGAATAGGTTTCATAAGACGCGGGTCATTGAGCTTCATTCATCACTACCCACCTATTCCATTGTGTAAAATAATCAGGATGATGTAGATTTCCCCTTCGAATCATAACCTGTTGTGGGTTTACTTATCATTGCATCGATTCATCAGCGATCCACTGCTATGAACTGATTAATCGATAGCTCAAATGTTCAGGAAAAGGTAGATTGGGAGCACAAGAGCAGGCATAGAGGCAAGATGCATGCATGTGGTCATGACGCGCACATAACGATGCTGCTGGGCGCTGCCAGATTGCTTCAGGACCGAAAGGACGACCTCAAGGTAAAAATTGGCCATTCCAGAAAAAGCTTAGCTGATGAAAAAACTCTCCAACTGTTATTGTAGATGGATTATTGATTACTCCAAGAAAGGAAGATTCTTAATGATTCGTTCCCATTTCTGCCAAAGGGTACTGTGAAACTCATCTTCCAGCCCGCGGAAGAGGGATTTGCCGGCGCATACCATGTTCTAAAGGAAGGCACTTTGGAGAAGACGAGAGCCATCTTTGGGTTGCATGTTGATCCTCGGCTTCCATCGGGCTCCCTGTCCTCAAAATCTGGGGTGCTTCTTGCCGCATCCGCCCGATTCATGGCTGTGATCAGAGGAAAAGGCCGCCTTCTTGGTCATGATCCGGTCTTGGCCGCCTCATTTGCGGTTCTTGGGCTGCAGGCCATAATCTCTCGGGAAACTGATCCGATCCAATCTAGTGTAAGCTTCTCCCCCCTGTTCTTGGCAGCTGCTTGGTTGGTCAACCCATCCCGTCCTTCCATTTTCGATCGAAGCGTTGAAACACGCCATCAACGGATCTCCTGATTTGTGGTCTCAGGTGGTCTCTGTTGTGTTCGTAAGAGCTGGGGATGCCCTGGATGCAATCCCTGAGTCTGTAACTTTGGGGGGCACCTTCCGGAGTTTGACTAATGAAGGGCTCGCCTTCCTCTCAAGAAGGATTAAAGAGGTAAGAAGTCTGACCTAATGCCCTTCCTCTGGTTTGACCCACCAAAGCTGATGAGTCTCTCCCTCCTCCTTCAGGTTATAGAGGCATACTCCGCTGCTCACCGGTGCACTTCGGCAGTGATGTTCATGGAGGAGGAGAGGATACCGTACCCACCCACGGTCAACGACCCAGCTATGTACGAACTTGCCAGGCGGGTGGGGGAGGAACTGGTTGGGAGAAACAAGGTCCACGTGTCAAAGCCCATGATGGCGGCGGAAGACTTCGGCTTCTACTCTCAGAGGATCCCGAGCACCTTATTCTTGGTCGGCACGAGGAATCAGACAGTGGGAGCCGTCCATCAGCTCCACTCCCCCTACTTCTTCTTCGACGATTGCGTGCTCCCCTTTGGGGCGGCCCTGCATGCCGCAGTCGCCATGGCTTACTTGGATTCTTCGTAGTTCTGGTGAGAGAACCTCAGCGGAGCTAACGAAGACACGGGCCAGAAACCAGCACTCTCGGACTCTTGCTGCCTGTTTTCGTATTTCTGCTGGCAGGATCGCTATCTGCAAATAAACGTTTCTTCGAGAACTGGAGCTTCCAGCTCTGGAAATCGCCATGGAACTGTTCTCCTCCATCCACAGATAATAAATATGTGCAGGTTTCCGTGAGATCAGATCCAGCTACATCCGGGTATCTTCCTGATTCCTCGTTCCCTCATCCTCCTCCTCACCTCGGAGACGTCGGCCCACCTGTTGGCCGCGGCGTAGATGTTCGACAGCAGAACGTAGTTGCCGGCGTTGGTCGGCTCGATCTCGAACAGCTTCTCCGCCACCGTCGTCCCGAGCTCGACCTCGCCGTAGGCGCAGCAGCCCCGCAGGAGGGCGCCCCAGACGCCAGCGTGGGGCTCCTCGCTCATCGACAGGATGAGCTCGTAGGCCTCCGCCAAGCTCCCGGCCCGCGCCAGGAGGTCAACCATGCACGCGTGGTGGTCGACGGTGGGAGCGATGCGATATTTCTCCTTCATCAGGTCGAAGTACCTCCTGCCCTCGTCGATCAGGCCGGCGTAGTTGCAGGCGGCGAAGAGTACGGTGAAGGTCACGTCGTCGGGGGTCAGGCCCTCGAGGAGCAGCCGCGGGAAGAGCTCCGCCGCCTTGGCGCCGTGGCCGTGGAAGGAGTAGCCCTGCATCATGGAGCAGTAGGTGAGGAGGCTCCTCTGCGGCAAGGCCTCGAAGAGGGCGGAGGCCCTCGCCATGTCGCCGCACTTGGCGTTCATGTCGATCAGGGCGGCCATGACGTGCGGCCGCTTGAGGTCAGCTTGGGACCGAGAGACCAGGGAGTCGGCCCATCGAGCAACCTGGAGGCAGCCCAGCTGGGAGCAGGCGGAGAGCAGGCCGACGAGGACGTGCTCGTCGGGGCTGACCTCGCGGTCCTTCATGTCGGAGAAGATCTTGATGGCGGCGTTGGGCTGGCCGTTCTGAGCGTAGCCCGATATCATCGCCGACCAGGAGAAGACGTCCATCTCGTCCATGCGGAGGAACAGGGACTCCGCGGCGGCCATGTCCCCGGCCTTTGCGTACCCGTCGATCAGGGAGGTGAAGGAGACGACGTTTCTCTCGGGCATCTCGTCGAACAGCTCGCGGGCGCTCTGCAGATCACCGAGCTTCACGCAACCGTCGATCATCGCATTCCAGGTGGCCAAGTTCCTGTGCGGCATATCGTCGAACAAGGCCCTGGCAGAGACTAGGTCGCCGGAGCTCAAGTGTCCACCGATCATGGCCGTCCAGGACACCACATTGGGGGCCCTCATGGCGAGGAAAAGCTTCATAGCAGACGGCATCTCCCTGCACTTCCCGTAGAAGTCGATCAGCGCCGTGCCGACGAACACGTCGGCCTCAAGACCTAGCCGCAGGACGGCGCCGTGCAGGCAGGCGCCAGCGCGGAAGGCCCCCGCGCCGGAGCAGGACCTGAGGACGGGCGGGAAGGTGAACCCATCGGGCCTCGCCTCCGCGCTCCGCTGCATCAGCCTGAAGCATTGCAGCGCGCAGGGGAAGGACGAGCTCTCCGCGTGGACCTTGATGAGCGTGTTCCAGAGGCAGAGATTGGGTGCGACGACGCGATCGAACACCTCGCGCGCGTACGCGGCGGAGCGGCAGAGGGCGCCGCACAGGCAGAGGAAGCGGGAGACGACGAACTGGTCCTGCTCCAGACCGTCACGCACTATCCGCGCGTGTATCTGCCGGAGGGTATCGAAGCTCTTGCAGACCTTTATCAGGCTCACCACGGAGGCGTTGCGACTGGTGGACGAGGCTGCGGCGGTGGCTGCCAGTCGGACTAAGCTCATAGAGCGAACCCGAGAGAGCGAGCGAGAGAGAGAGAGGAGGCCGGTGGCGCCACCGATCAGGAGCCACGATGAGGGGGCAAGCAAGCCATGAGAAATGCTCGAAAGATATTTGCATAATAGTCCCCTACAGAAACACTGAGGATCGATCTCACGAGCACCGTTTGATCGGTAGACTACTGGGCCACGCTCGTAGGCCCAACCCGAACCGGTCCCGATGACCGACAACCGGCGCGATGGGGACTCCTACAATTCCGCCTACTCGGTCGCCGGTGGACGGCGACGGCGGCCATGGAAAGATAGAAGCACAACAGATGGCCGGAGGAGGTGCCGCCGCCAAGAGAGCACCCACCGCCGGGACTGGCGTCGTCGTCTGCGATTCTTCAGTTCGATGGCAGCGTCTTACCCCACGTCTTCAACGGCAACACCTCCAAGGACTTCACGGTTGTGATCCTCTCCATCTTCCTACGCTGAAAGAAAGACTTATGGTTTGATGATGACGACCCGTCTGGTTCTGATTCAGATCAACAGCGCGAGCCACCACTGGAAGATCGATAACTCGTGGCTGGAGATTGAAGACGCCGGAGACCGGCAGGGCGGGCTTGAGAGGCCCGAGAAGGCTTCCAAGACCTGCAAGTGGGGAGATGACAAACAGTGTAAACCTAATCGCCATTAAAGCTCGTCTCGAGCTCGCTTTGCCTTCGCGCCGTCATCTCGCTGGACGGTCTTCAAGGCTGGATCGAGACAACGATCACCGACATGGCCATGGCCGACAACCCGGCCCCTGAAGATTTCCCCGCGCCGAGCGTTGACTTGGGTTGTTTGTTTTGGCTTTAATTCTTGGGCGGCAAGTGAGACAGGAGCTTAGGAGGTCCAAGAGCGACATCGTCGTCGTCTTCAGTGGTCTGAGAGATCCGTGAAGTAGCGGAGGGTAAGATCATCGCCTCCTCGCTGTCCCCTGGGGTTGGGTAGGGTTGCTGACGATTGTCCTCCTCTCTCTCTCTCTCTCTCTCTCTCTCTATCTGTCAAACATTATGATCGTCATTAATTCTGTTCGGAGGAGCCCACCATGTGGACGTGAGGTTCTCCACAGAGGAAGATCCCGAATGGTTTAACGATGTGATGAAGACGGAGATACGGATCCTGAGAACCTGGCTCGACTGATACTAACAAGACTACGCCCGTGGAAGCTTTCTCTACAGAAGTCAACGGGAGAACACCATAGCTTAGCATTCATCTCTTTTACTCGTCTACTTATTCCCATTCCTAGAGAGAGAATGCTTCATACGCCCGGTTGCCGATGGGTGCATAGTTATGCTATTATGGCCTAATCTAATACAAGGATATTGAACTATTTTCGATCCTCTCTCTCTCTACTCTATCCGAAAGGGTGAGCCATCCAGGTCCACCACCAAAAGTCAACCTTCCCTCTTGGACGCTTTCTGGAGATAGGGTAAGCGGATGACCCGGCCTCTCTCCTCCACAGCTTTACTAGGCCTCACGGGAGAGCATATGAAATGCAAGGTCGAGGAGACAGCGGGGGGCGCCGCCTCGCTGGCCGGCGAGATGTACGGCAGCGCACCGACGCCTCGCGCTCCCCTCGTGAGGAGACGTGACGGGGAGCCATCCCTCCGCCCTCCATTAAATTGCAGGAGAGAGAGGAAGACGGCGGCGCCCGGCCGATCTCCTCGCGCTCTGAACTGATGGGGAGAGGATCGAGAAAAGTCAGCCCTTTGACGGCGGAGTTGCCGTCTGTCCGTCCTAGCCGAGTCACGTGTGTGATCATTGCCGGCGACGGGGGACGTCTTGTCCGAATCCGCAGAGGGTTACCCGCAACGACGCCGATCACCTCCGATCTATGAAACTTCCTGGGTTTTAAGCTTCAAAATAAACTAGTTTTAATCGGAAAGCCATTTGTTAACTCTGTCGAACGGATTAATAAAATACTATTCCAAGACTTCTCTTGGCAGAAAGTCAACGGATCGTATCCTTGAAGATAGATAAATGTTTGACCAAAAATAGATAAATCTGAGGGAATATGCGCTGGCATTGGTGCCTACGTACACGGTCGCTTGATTAACGGGGAGGGACGAGAGAAAGACGAGTCGATCTGGAAAATTCTGTCCTTTTCTGGGTGTTTCCCGGGACCTGTCGCCGTCTACTTTACGACGACGATGACGAGACCCCCGCGGTCGGCGATGGCCCGTCTGTTCGGAGCATTTTCCTCTACACCTTCGAATCTCCGCAGTGCACGGCCGCCGGAGGAAGGGAGAGGTCGCCGGCGGCGGCGACAGCGTCAGCGCCGCCGCCGAGGCTCCCGATCCCCTCGGCGTCGAAGCTGGCGTGAACGCTGTAGAGGAGGTAGACCAGGACAACCAACGCCGAGAAGAGCCCGAAGCGGGCGTAGGAGGGGCCATCTAGCGAGCCCAGGAGGAAGACGTTGAGGAAGATGGACGCCGCGGGCGTCCACGGCATCAGTGGGACGCCCCAGAACTCGGGCTTCCGCGCTTGGCTCACGAAGAAGCGGAACGCCTGCAGAGCCACGCCAGCGCCCACCGCGAAGCCGCACAGCAGCAGGACCTTGACTTTCCCCGGCGGGCCGAAGCGCCACAGCATGGTGAAGCCGAGAGACGAGAGAGTCAGCGCCGCCAGTAGGGCGGCCGTCGGCCAGGGGCTGGTCGTCCCAGCCACCACGTACCGCCGGTAGACAACGGCGTTGGCCACCATGTAGAAGACAAAGAGGGTCCCGATAGTGACCAGGTTGAGGAGCACGTTCAGGTCCGTTATCAGCGCAATAGCCCCCGTCGCCACCCCTGTAAAACCAGTTAGAGAGAGAGGTAGAGAGAGATCATGTCGGAGGGGGAAAGTGGCGATACCAAGGGAGGCGGAGGCGTTGACCGGAGTGGAAGTGACAGGGTTGACTCGAGCGAGCCACGCGGGGACGACCCCCGACCGGCCGATGACGCAGAGGTACCGGGCCTGGCTGAGCATGGAGACCAGCAGCGAGGTCAGGATTCCGAGGCTGGCCCCCGCGCCGATCACGTTGGAGACCCACCGCCAGCCGCCGGAGGAGCCCTCGAACGCCGAAGAGAAGGGAGACTCCACGTCGATCTGAGGGAGGGGAAGCAACGGGAAGAGAAGGTGAGATCTGCGCCGCCGCTGACCGACGGCAGGCCCTTCCGGGGAGGAAGGTGGAGAGCTTACCGCGTCGTAGGGGACGAGCATGGACATGGAGGCGGCCATGAGGCAGTAGATGACGGTGACGAGGGCGACGGAGCCGGAGACGCCCGCGGGAATGTCCCTCGTGGGTTCCTCTGCCTCCTCGGCCATGGTGGACACGGCGTCGTAGCCGATGTAGCTGAGGTAGACCATGGCGGCGCCGTCGAAGACCCCAGTGGCGCCGAAGGGGAGAAAACCGCCGGCATGGCTCGCCGGGTCGGCCGGGTGGGTGAAGTTCCTCACGTCGCCCCGCCAGAATCCCATCACGATGATGAACAGGATGAAGAGTAGGTGGACGGCCGTCAGCGCCATGTTCAGCGCAGAGCTCTCCTTCGTGCTGGAAACAAGCCATGTTCGATTTAGAGGGCGGCGGCGGCCGAGAGGGAGAGTATAGGCGCCGACGTGGGAGGAGGAAGGGAGAAGATGGGGGAGGGGTGGAGATGGAAGAAGCAGGCGCATATCTCTGCGGGTAGAAACCTGTAGCAGATGCAGAGGGAGATGACAAGGATGACGCCGACGGCGAGGAAATCGATCTGGTTGAAACCTTCCGGCAGGCCGGTGACGGTGATCCTCCATCGCTCAGTCGTGGCGACTCCGATGGCGGTGCCCAAGTAGGCCGTGAAGCTCCTCGCCACCGCAGCATTCGAGAAGACGTAGTCCATCACAAGATTCGCTCCGGTCAAAAAGGCGGCGAATTCCCCTGCATCGATGGAACAGGAGCAGAATCGAATAAGAAAACAGCCATAACCACGCCGGCGCCGGCGATTGAATGCCCACCACGCCGCTCACCGAAGGTGACTCGCAGGTAGCTGAAGGCCCCCCCGGCAACGGGCATGTCGACGGCGAACTCCGTGTAGCAGAAGGCGGAGAGCAGCGCACAGAGCCCGGCAGTGGCGTAGGACAGAACCACCGCGGGCCCGGCGCAGAGACGAGCGGCGCGACCGGTGGTGACGAAGACTCCGGCACCGACCATCCCCCCGAGGCCCAGGCCCACGAAGTCCGGCCACCGGAGAGTCCTCCGCATGTCCGCCCCAGACCGGGCCCGGACTTGGCTCATCTCCTCGTACGCCGTCGACACCGACCACGCCCGCCGGCGCAGCCTCGCCGGCGTCTGCGCCAGCGCCCGCCCATACGCCCACAGTCCGGAGAAGGAAGAAGACGACGATGCGCCGCCGCCGCCGTTCTCCATCTCGCTGCCGCCCCCCGCCCCCCCCAACTCGCGAGCAGGCACAGAATCTCGCAGATTTCGGCTCGACAAGTTGTGCAATGAGAGGAGGCGTCCAGATAAGAGGTCGTCGAGGGAAGCGGAGGAGAGAGTAGACAGCCGTCAGCGCACACACGCACGTACGGCTTTTCGCGGCGGATATCGGAGTCCGACACGGGGCAGCTGGAACGGCCGCGTTAAATATGGCAAAAAAGGAGCCGTTCCCTGCCTTGGCACGTGCTCCCATCCCTCCCCATTTCACGAAAACACGCCCAAAAAGAAGACCAAAGGGTCCAGAGAGTCGCCCCCACTCCCCCCGAATCATCGAGGCGGTTACATACGGTTGGTGAAGCCGCGGGCCCCATCCACTTTAAAGCCCCCCGCGTCCTCTCACCGTCCGACGCCCCCAGAGGACGCTCGAGATGCGGCAGCGTGGTGGGCGGAGAGTGAGTGACAATACTCCGGGGCCGGCGCCTTATCCTGCCCCCTCCCCCACCGCCCGTTTCTGGGAATCTTCTTCCCTGAAGCTCTCTCTCCCCCTCTCAGTGGGGAGATTCTGCTGCCACTGTTTCTTAGTACAACGTCGTAAGGATGTCGGGGAGCTGATGCCCGGCGCTTTCCAGCTGCCGGGCCCAATCAGCGAAAGCCGCCA